CTCTTCCTGGTTTGTAAGTGCAAAGGAAGCTACTCTTCCTGGTTTAATAGTGCAAGGCACCTTATCAGTGTATTATTCAGGAATTGTTCTTCACATGCTCTAAACAAAGGGAAGTAAACCACGTTGCAGCTGAATTTAGTTGCTACAATCTTTTTTCATCCACACAACCACACCGGTAACACTTTTTATAAATGGCGGAACATTAACGTTAGAAGAAACATTTCTAATTCTCGTTTTTGTGGCGTTAGTTATTATTGTAGTGAACGTTATAGCTTTATTTATCCTGTTGGAAAAGTATTTCAAACAAAGGACAATTTTGTTTCGGGGATGGAATCAAGATTTGCAGTAACAACTGCAGCTAATGGAGACAGGGAAAATGGCGGCAGCAGAGTGGCCGAAGCAGAGGTCCCCGTGGTCCCAGAGGCTATCGACGATAACGCCTGTTACCACTACTCCTTCAGGAGGTGAGTCGGTGCAAATTGGTTTTTATCCAAATAATGCATATAACCCTTCAGTTAACTCACAAATGTATCCTCCCGGAATTTGAAAATCATGTCCCTCAATCCCAGCATCATAACAATGCTCCTAGCATGGTTAGTAACCCAAATGCCCCTCATAATTCACAAGTCATTCTCATGTTTCAAAATGTTGACATGTTAAATATGCCACCACCTACAACGACACAAAGTGTTTATGATCACCTGGGTTGTAATGTTTCTGTCAGCATTAAAAACAAACTATGGAATGGTGAGTACATAGATTTTCAGACTTTTGCTTAAACCAGACAGAGATTCGATGGTTTTATATACAACTTCGGCAGTATTCATCAGTACAGATGGACAGCTGGAGTTGAGGCAAAAGTCTCAAGGCGCGAGAATTAGAACATTTTTAATTGGACAACAGCTTTTACAACTTACACGTGGAAGCGATGCCCATCCAGCCTGCAGAGGTACATCAACCAGCACTCCTTCCAGAGTTATACAAGCTCGGTCAAACACCAGTAAAGACACAGGTGATGGAACGAATGGCCAAGCATTTTCCGGATGAGGCTCAGTTTCTCGTTAATGGTTTCAAATATGGCTTCAAGCTAGGATATGATGGTACAGTGGTAGGTTCTATGGTATGGCAAGAAATCTCAAATTTGTTAAAAATAATCATCTTATGTCACATTTAAAATTCCAAAAAGAGTTGGACTTGGGTAGAATAGACAACCCTCCAAAACCATATGTTAAGGTTTCACGCTTGATTGGTCCCTAACAGCGCTCCAGGAGATTATAGATTAATACACCACCTATCTTTCCAGGAGGTCAGAGCGTAAATGATTTTATTGATAAATCAACACGTGTGTGCGTGTGCCGGAGATAAGCTCATTCGTTCGATGCTATAGATCATATTTTGACACGATTAAAGGTTAGATTAAAGGTGATGCAGTCGTTACTTGGTTTACTTAATTTCCTGTGCAAAGCAGTTCCATCGGACAGATGTTTCCTTCGACGAATGATTAATGCAACGTGTGGTAGGAAGCCTCACCACCACATAAGATTGACAAAGAACATGAAGAGTGACCTAAGAGTTTGGCAGAGATTTTGAAGGAGTTCAATGTAGTTTCCATAATGAGATCAAATGCTGATCTGGAGTTTTTATACTGACAATGCTTGTGGACAAGGCAAAGGTTTTGGTATTTATTTTGCCAGTCCATGGACCTGTGGAGCTTGGCCGAATCATTGGGTTCCAGGGCTTTATGACGAATATTACCTTCCTTGAGTATTTTCCCATCGCAGTTGCAATTGTGATATGGGGATATGGAGATAGACGTATGTACCGTGTGCACACTGTAAAACTTGGATTTTACGCCTCCTTGAAAAGTATTTCAGTTACATTTATATCATGTAAAGGCGACATGTAAAGCTATACAATCAACAAAATGTAACTAGGTTTACAAATCAATACAAATTACTACACGGCAATTACAATGGCAGTAAACAATAGAGTGGTAATACAATATCCAATGGCAATATATAATATGATGGCAGTGGTCAGTATCAAATACATACGTACAGTGGTGAAAGCAAAAATCAGTGATAACTATATATACTCACTCAGCGCCGCCAGCCGTCAAGCTTCCGAGATGGACTAGGCAGGGAATCAGGGATGATCCTCACATGAAAGTTGGTCTTGACGTGATGAAAATGCGTGAGAGACGAAATGTGTGAGAGATATGTAAACACGCTATTGTACCACTATATATACAGCCTAACCAGATCCAGGAAGGTTCAACCGTGTCTTTACCAGGCCATCGGCACGAGAACATTAAAGATGATTCCACAACATTCTGTCACAGTCCGCGGTAAACGGAAGTTTACACACCACAATGGCATCTAAATGCTTCCTGCCCATTCGTCACCACTCGCCCCTTTCCGTAACCCGTAATCTGAGTGCGCATATGATTTCAAGTTCTTCGTCAAAGAATCCCTCAGAAATAATTTTTGATCTTACGTATGTCTTGCATCTAAAAATATACCCAAGGCACAGTTAAATGTGTTCAATCATACTGTATAATTTCGCACGTCCCGATGTTTTTTTACCCTGAAATATATATATAATATAAGGGGAAATATATTTGAACCACTGCGCAACGAGTTGACAATTGTTTTAGGTAGGCCCGTTTGCGCTAAGACGGAACCCGGTCGCAAAAATGCCCACGAGATGGGCACGAGTCGCTATTCGGCTTGTCCCGGAATAACACGAGTTGGTCACGAATGGCTTCCTGACGACTAATCACTCTACCGAATCGCAACCAAAACAATGGAGCACAGTTACAATCATTGTCAAACAATAAAACAGATAGAGCCATATAACAATAGTACTAGTTACATTGATTATGAATTACATGTAACACAGGGGGACAGCCACTTTACGATACTTTAACCTCCTGAGCAGAGCCTTTGTCGATAAAAGCTTCACACCAAGTTTAGAAGCAAGCAATTAAATATCCACGTACTTATTTAAAATGTATGATGCCGACTAATTTCTTTCAAGTGGTTTAGAATGAGATGCCCTCATATGGGAAAAAAGATCTTTCAGATTTACTGTTTGATTATGTGACTCCCTTGCGAATGCAAAGTCCAAACTGTCAAGCAAAATATGCTTGACGGTGAAACTTTCAATACAAGTGATACACTTAGGAGGTTCGTCCTTATCTGTTTTAAGCAGATATTCATGGGAAAACCGACTGTGGCCAGTACGACATCGTCGCAAATCGACCTCATCATATCGTGACTGGCAACCCAAGAAGGTATAACCGACTGTTGGTTTAAACTACCTGGGTGTCCCACCTTTATTGCATATGATCCCGAGTATAACTCTTGGTTTGAAATTACTGTACGGATAAAGGAATGGAGATAACGGTTTATTAAGAGCTGCTTTAGCTGCAGCATCGACTTTTGAGTTATCTGTATTTGATGACATGGTATCCAACAAAAGACGATGTCACATAGGCTAGTAGAAAGATCATTATATGTATAAATGTTAAGGATTATAGGATATTTCGATGAGAAGGCAAGACAAGGAATCTGAACATATGATGAAAGTTGTACATTTTTGTTGTTGTTTTACATAGGTCAAAGCTGTCAAGATAGTTTGGCCTCAGCAGTTGCGATTGAACTATTATCTGGGATTCTTGAGGTTTGGATCCTATGATTGTAGCACTTTTCCCCCATTCGTGGGCCCGTCTGTAAAAATGGATCAGTAAGAATAATATTGTGTTCGTAATTGGTTTTATTCTTGGTGATTTACCAAAGGATGTGACTATTGTGATGACACTCAAATGATTTCATATTTTGTCGGTGAACACGAAACGCCAACGGGCTCGGAGCCGCACCATATGATTTGAGGACGTGTAATAGTTGATCTCTACTTCAGCGACACATTATAAGGACTAAACTACAAACTTTGCAAATTTTTCTGGTCTCTGTCGGCCAGTAAAACGACTGGCATCACCCAAGCAATGTTTGGCGGTTCTTATTCACGAACCAACAGTCACACATATGTCCCCCCCCCCCCCCCCAATAGAGGAGACACAGAAAGTATCCTCAGTACAAAATGTGAGATTGATCCTGTGAAAGGTTACAGGATGGTCAAGGTTCTAGAAAGCTGGTTGCACCTTTATAAGAGCGGCCTCTTACGACCTGAATTGTTTCCTATCTACTTGCCAAGTGCCCGTGAGTGTGTGAGTTGGGTTTAACGCCGCTTTTAACAGTATTCCAGTTATATCACGGCGTGTCCGCTTCATATTGGAGGAAAGCCCAAAATGATGCAGGTCTCAGACGTTTACCACTTCGGTGAAACCCACGAGCACGGGTATGGTGCGGACAAACCTAGAAACATAATCGGGGCGAACCGGGATTCGAACCCACAATCATGGGTGTCTGGCGTGCCCAAGGGAAGCAACTCTGCACAGCGAATCGCGGCGGCTTAGACGACTAGGCAACCCGTGCTGGAATACTGTTAAAAACTAACTCACGCACTCCAGGTTGGAATAGGTCTTCAGCAACCCATGCTTGCCGTAAAAAGCAACTATGCTTGTCGTAAGATGCGACTAATGAGATGGGGTGGTCAGGCTCGCTGACTTGGTTGATGCATGTCATCGTATCCCAATGGCGTGGATCGATGCTCATGATGTCAATCACTGGATCATATATCTTGAATATTGCTGAGAGTGGCGTTAAACAACAACCAAAACAGAACAAAATCTTGCCAAGTGCGTCAAGTGATACCTTTCGGAAAACAACGAATCCCTTCCAGCTTCCAACACTATTCAAAAACAGAAACAGGCCTGTGCAGGGACACATATGGAAGGGCCTGTACTTATCGACACCTTTTTGACCCATTATATTGCCTTTTGTGACTAAAAACTGTGTCTTTCTCTGAATATAATTGCTAGAGTCCTCCCGAACCTTTCATGATTCAATCAATATGGAAACTGAAGACACAAATATCAATCATTTTCAATTCATCACACTTTATTTGATTTTCAAGAAGAACAGTCGCTTAGAAAACATAATTGATTGTTACTTACAAAGGATATATCAATCAAACAATTTAATTATCATACGTGCCGTTGTGTAAATTCCATCAACGATATGGTCAGACGAATATTTGTTGACTTTGGGGGCCCAGTAATGTAGGGTGTATATACTGGTATAATATAAACAAGACCATTTCAAATGTATCCTTTTAATTCCTTGACCGTGGCATAAAACAACGACCTAACACTTATGTCAACTGCCAGGCAAAAGAAAGCATAAACTTAAAATTGGATTTCACCGAAATTACAGACGTTATCAAGATGTTAATACGATGAAAAGTCACCGAACACTGCAAACGTAGATAAAAACACAACTATGATTCACCAGCGACAACCGTGTCTTGTTCGTTTAGAAATCTTGAAACAAGGGTGTATCCTTTTTCTTGCCCGGCAGATAACTTTGACAGCATGGGTGGTAGCACATTGTAAATGAGAACATGTAATTATGTTCAATGTATGACGCTAAAATAAGATCTTATCTTATCAATTTTAATAGACTGTCGTGATGTAGCTCGAGCAAAATACCAGACCGAGTCAACACTAATTGTGTGGCAGTGTACCTCGACATCGAGTGTGTCTGCATAGTCCCCACGAAGTGACTTGTTTGTCTTGTTTGGACTCAAATGTCGAAATCACAACTTTGATTCCAGACTCAAATGCCACGATCAAGATGTAGCTGCGCTAATGTGTGGCTTGCTTTACACAACATTCACAAAAACCTCCTGTGCATTTGTTTCATTGATACCTGCGTCTTGTAAACATTATGAAAAATTAAACTTGTAACTAAGTCTATGATCTGTGCTGTTTGTGCTAATCTGTGCTACCTGACCTATGTGTCAGTACGACCTAAATAAGTTGGAAAGAGTTTGCTTTGTTTGTGTGTTGAATTGAAATTAATTTTGACAGTGCGGTTAAATGATATTTATTTCCAGTTTATTATGACAACAGATTAAGCTGAATCAGTAGCGGTGTGACATGCGACTCTTTTGGGACTTCACATCCTCTTGTTTGCGTCGCGTTTCTTCATGAGCAGGAAACACATGTACACAATGATCAGGAGGAGTATCAGGGCGACGATGCAGACCACGATGATGGCGGGGAACATCACAGACATCTCAGGGAGGCAGTTCTTTGCAGTTGGAGAAACACTAGTATCGCCTGGAAGAAAATAATATAGTCTTTAATCCATTAGTTGAACTTCTACAATTCGACTATCAAAGAGATCAACCCGGGTTCTGTTGATGGGGCAAATGGATCGTTACGTTAGGTTCTACCCACAAATGGGTAAAATGGGTAAAGCCCATTCTAGGCATCCCCTCTGTGATATGGCCAGAATAATACTGACAGCAGTGCAAAACCCAACTGACCTTCCTAACATCTTATGCATGACCAAAGCAGTGACAGCTCGATTATTTGAACTTCATTTACATCGAACAATTTTGTTTATATCTCGCCTCAATAACCATCTCCGTGGTCTAATGGATAGAGCATATGCCTGGAAAACGGAAGGCATGTGGTTTGATCCCATGGCCGCGTCATACCAGAAGACATTGGTAGATGGTACTTGTTGGTATCCTGCCTGGCGCTTTGTATTAAGAGGATACACGAATGACTCGGAGTATAATTTGTCTGAGTGGGGTATCCATGTTAAACTTATGCTGACTACAATTTAAAGAGAAACGTTTTAATCACATTGAAGTGCCGAGTAGAATTCAAGACTAGTTCAAGCAGATACATATAGGTGAGAACCTACCGTTTGTTTGCGATGCTGTCGTGGTGTCATCCTCAAAGTACACTGTGGTGTTGGCTGTTGACTCAACTCTGCCGTCATTGGTTTGACGCTTCTTTCTGTCTCCCGTTACTCCGCATGTTGTCTTGAAATAAATACATGCAGGAAGTACATACATACTGTTAACAGAAATGTGTCCAATTTCAGACTGAAGTGATTTAAAAATAATCTACGGTAATATTTACACAGTTTTACAGTTCATGTCTCATCAACATCAGATTGTAGACGCTGAAAACTGGTACGACAGGGGACAAACGGCAGGTGGGCTTCGTTACGTTGTGTGTACACACTGGTATGTGCCCGTCGCAAATAAATAAATTGAGATATACTGCATCTTCACTGAAGAGGACCAAACACCGTGTATCCCCTTCCTACAAACCTCTCCGAAAGGTAATCAACATATGTTATACAAGGAAGCTATTAAATATATTCCATCTAATCATTGCTGCTTGTAATATAGGATATTTGTCTTTGAATTGTTGTGTCCACATTTGCTTGAGAACTGCGAGAACAATTGCGTTGGTCGATGCTCATGATGTCAATCACTGGATTGTCTGGTCCAGACTCGATTATTTCCAGGCCGCCGTCATATAGCTGGAATATTGCTGAGTGTGGCGTTAAACAACAAATAAACAAACAAAAGCTTGAGAACTTCACGCACCAGTTGACAGCCAGCTCGATCCCCGGAGAGGCACAGTTTGTACTTCATGTCGTGCACCACGGCTGCAGGCCCTGGTCGGAAGTAACCTGGTCTGTACTGCATGCAAATCTTCGTGTCACTCACCCTGCTTGGATAGGAGTGCACGATTGCCTTACCGGACTCGTCGCTGCATCTGGAATAAGAACAATTTTAATGTTTGATTACTGTCAATTTTCAGTGGAAAAGATTAGTAGTATAGAACGGGTCAGCAGGAACCTTTTTTGGTTGATCCGGTTGATCCAGGCGGATGCGAAGGTGATTGGTTGATCCAAGTCACGTGATCGGATAGGATGACTCATGCCTCAACAGCGCGTCAGGAAAGGGTGGGGAATGAAAGGTGTGTGTTTATAAGGCAGAAAAGAATTCATAAGAAAACAAAAGTAAAGGGTTATGAATAGAGCTAAATGTATAGCGTGCTGCTCTGAATAGACAAGCAGCCCAGTTTGAATTGAGCGCGCTTGACAACTCACGTGGCCTCGTCGTTTAACCCGCGCTCGCTAGAGCGTGCGACCTGGTTTGATGAATACAGGGTGTGTGTTGAAAGTACATCATACCACCATAGAGACGGGTTGTGTCAACATGATATACGCCGGGTAATGTAAGAAAAAAAAAATGTACGTCTAGCTGGATCAAATTCATCTTATACGGTCTACACGTTGTACACCATGAACGTTAGACAACCTGTATGGAAAAAATATAGACAAAATAGATAAGACTACGCAATCAGCAAGCTAGCAGTTTACATTTAGCGCGCAAGAATGAGCTAATGTATAGCAGAGAGACTAAGCGACCGGCCGCCCATAACAATGTCAACATACACTACCCCGACCTTACAATTAATGTTAACATAACAGCCTCGCCTGAAGCTTCCCATTCATAAATTGTGTGACCAGTGTCCCGTATTTATGATACGTTAGGGAACATGTGTTGTACATTTGTTATTTTAAAAGGGAGTTATTTCAGAGAGGATATATATGGGTATTCCCCCTCATTAAACCTTTCTTTCGTTGGTGTCTATTAAACGTATCCGGTATTTAATACATTTGAATGATGTAGGAAAGTATGTGCGTGAAGATGTTGTACCTATATCCGAACACGAATGTATGACACCTTTCAATAGATCAATTACGGTTCTAACCACGACACGCAACATGACTATGAGCGTGGTTAGCAGTTCATATTTATAAACACATCGTAAATGACAGATTTCTGATGAATGAACTCGCCCGCACACATGTCTATAGGGTTATGTTCGCCCGAACTGTAAACAGTGACACATTGATAACAGGAAGGGTGTGCGGAATGCACTCGTCCTTGTAAGGGTAAAATACGCGTTTAAACTCACCATTTAAATGATGATGACATTACTTTTTAGATGTATTGCTATCAGTGAGTGAGTGAATTTAGTTTTACGCCACAATCGGCATTTTTCCAGCTCTAGGATGGTGGTCTGTCAATAAACGAGCTTGGACCAGACAATCCAGTTGATCAACAGCATGAGCAGCGATCTGTGCAACTAGGAACCAATGGCACGTGTCATCCGAGACTGACCAACCGATCCCCGTCAGTCGCCGATAAGCATGGGTTACTGAAGGTCGATTCTATAACCCGGGACCTTCACGGGTGTAGTATGACGAAGACTATATACTAATATGCCAAAAACTGAGAAAAAAAACCAAACAGTTCATTCGTATCTTTTATTGATTCGAGTAAATCGGTTCCATACAAAGCCGTGATATACGAATGGACAATATTATTCACTCTGGAACATTATTTAGTCACTCATATACACATGCTGCTGCTGTTCGAAGGCCCTAGTGTTTAAACAGCGAGTCCATGTTTTGAAACACATTTCGCACTGTTGAATGTTTCCTTTTCTACGCTGTTTTAAGGTTGAATAGTTGTCTATAGTCTATGCTTTATCCATTGCTTGTAACGATTTCCGTCCAGGAGGTCCCAGTTTCACAATTCCTCTCACGTACAGGGAAGTTCGGCGTTTCTTATCGTTCAAACGCCTCAGTTTACAAGGTGTTTTCAAAATATGAATCAAACTAGACGCGTGGCGTTGACTCGGCATTCTCTTCTGACTGTTAGACTGATATAGTAGTGATGGGTATTTATGCCTAATCTTCTGCTCACGATCATCATACTCCTCCTCGTCATCACCGTCGTTATCCATCAATGGCAGGATCTCTTTCATCTTGGGTTTTAGGAGGAGTTTGATTTTATTTTTGAGAACAGATTGTTCCGTGGAAGGATTCATGTCTCCCAGGTTGTATAGCATGTTTTGAAACAGAGGTGCCTCTTTAAAGTACGTGGTATATTCCATCGCATAGTTGAGAGTACTACGCACTAGAGCCTCCCACCTCCGTTTCAATCTTCTCTCAATCCATTCTTGCGTTCGTCCCTGTCGCTTGTACTGTTTTTTTCTTCAGTTTCATCTTGTCATGAAACGTATCGTACACCTGCTTCCAGATGCGCTGTAAGCCTACATTTTGCCACTCCGCGGCTTCCATATTAGTGAATGTTGACTTCCCACGTGGAGGTTTGACGGCAAGACCACTGCCTTTCTTGGAAGAGGCTAGGTCGTCAAAGTCTCTGTCATCGTCATCACTCTCGAGTCTGGCACGCTTTCTCTTAGGTTGAAGGCTATTGGCCGGACACCAGTGTTTGATATGTCGCTGCAGATCGTGCATGTTATCTATCAGCACCCCGCAATCTGCGCAAGCCGTGGCCATAGTCAATGATGTCTCACTACTCGTGTCTGAATCGGTTTCAATTGGCGTGAGCTGATGTTGGGGCAATCTCTCTTCTTGTGTCAGAGGACGATCCAGAGATTCTGTTGTAGTCAACTTCTCCCTACGCAGATCAGGTTCAGACTGTGCTGTTGTTCTCCTGTTTTCCTCATTTATGGGGTTAACATGCAGTCGATCCTTATCTTTGGTGGTAGGTTTTAGATCGATGGTGAGTTGTCCATAGGGTGTTTCAGCAACCTTTTCATACATAGCCATAAAGTGATCCATATGTCGGGGAAAATTCTACGAGCGAAGAGTTTGATTTGCTGTTTATCTATGGGGGAATGAAACAGGGTGACATAATGAGCGTTCAAAGCAATGTCTCTCGATTCCTTACCTCTCGGAAACAGATTTTGTATCAAGAGAAAGATCAATACATTCTTGTGATGTGAGGTTTGAGTAAACAGCCGCGAAATACGCTTGTCGTGCTTTGCTTCGGCCAGGAAATCATCCAGGACCAACACGTTCTGTTGACGAGCATCAAAGTAATCCTCGTCCAAGATATCGTAGGGAATTCCTTTTACAAAGGTCAGCTGAGGCAGCTGCTCACCGAGGTCCTTATATAATGGCTGCCATTGAGTATAACACCAAACGATGAGGGTAGGTTGGGGTTGGATCAGGCCATGCCGGAGTACATGAGAGGTAAACACAGACTTTCCACAACCACTGGGTCACACAACGAGCGCATTTGAGGGAATCAGGAACTTGAATTGTTCTCGAAGATCAGATATACATGGTAAATGAGGCAGCCACGAGTGGACTTGCGATGGCGGCGGCGGCGGCGGCGGCGGCGGCGGCGGATGTGCTTGTAACGGCGGGTTGGCTTGACGCAGCGGCGGCGGTGGGTGGACTTGCGGCGGCGGCGGCGTTAGCGGGTGGGCTTGTAATGGCGGGTGGATTTGTGGCGGCGGCGGCGGTAGCGGATGGGCTTGCGGCGGCGGCGTTAGCGGGTGGGCTTGTAATGGCGAGTGGACTTGCGGCGGTGGGCGGGCTTGTAACGGCGGCGGCGGTATGCTATGTTTATTTCTCCTGTGTCGTAACATGACATCTCTCCTTGAAAACATTTTTTCACAGACCGGACAGGTGGCAACCCCCATGGTGATCCAATACGGTGTGCGATTAGAGGGTATGAAGCTTTCTTTTATACCCTTGACTTTGTTGACGCTTCAAGGCAGCAAGTGCCCGTTCCACCACAGCCTTCACCTCCGACACATGTTGTATTTTCACGGGTTGAGGTGTTGTCTTCAATACCTGTTTGGTTGTCATCGTTTTCATTTTAGGTGTTACCTGTCTCTTCTTTCTCTTCAGCGTCGACTTCTTGGCTGCTTGTGGTTTCTTTCTCTGTTGTGATTTTCTCAACGTAGTCTTCCTAAATATATCTCTAGGGTCAAGTCTAATCTCTGATGCTTTCTTCATGTTGTTCACGTCCAATACGTTTGCTGGCGAGAGTAAAACTGTTTGTGGGGCTACACTACTGTAGAGTTTATACTGTCTTACACGTGCAGGGAATCTTGGAAGACACTCTTTTCTTCACAGCACACTTGTGAGTATGTTAAAAAAGCGATCAGTATGTGTATTTTAATTTGGTTTTACAATACACACTGGTAAATAATCCTTGATGGTCTTCACCTTTGGCTTCCACAGGCAGCAGGCCCAGTAACCCATGCTTATCGGCGACTGACGGGGATCGGTTGGTCAGTCCCGCCTCTCTGAAATAACTCCCTTTAAAAATAACAAATGTACAACACATCTTCCCTAACATATCATGAATACGGGACACTGGTCACACAATTTATGAATGGGAAGATTCAGGCGAGGCTGGTATGTTAACATTAATTGTAAGGCCGGGGTATGTTGACATTGTTATGGGCGGTCGGTCGCTTAGTCTCTCTGCTATACATTAGCTATGAATAAACCTGCTTCGACATTTATTTCCAATAAAACATTTTCCTCGTCAAACAATTTTCCATGATAAACTCTGTTCTCTCTTCGAATAAAGGGTGAGTATTGTAAACATGAAAATGTCCTATAGATTGCTTCCATCACTTTCCCAACAAACCTAGCTTCGTGTGGTCACACGGGTACATGTACTTATCAGTTTTCTATCTATTTTCAAAATAGCACGTTCTGAATTAAAACTGTGCACATCATGTTACACGGTTAAAACTCAAACCGTAGGGCTTATTTGTCATCGCATTAAATGGAAACGCTAGCATTGAAACATCAACTATGCAAGTCGGGACAGGACTGAATAATTCTTTACAAATGGTTCACAATAGTACGCGGCGAGTGATTCGAAATCCGGTTGCCTTCAGCGTTATAGTCAATGCAGGGTGACGTGACTACCTCGTTGTTGCGTGCTAAATGTAATTAAACGACACTGCTAGCTTGCTGATTGCGTAGTCTTATCTATTTTGTCTATATTTTTTTTTCCATACAGGTTGTCTAACGTTCATGGTGTACAACGTGTAGACCGTACAAGATGAATTTGATCCAGCTAGACGTACATTTTTTATTCCTACATTACCCGGCGTATATCGTGTTGACACAACCCGTCTCTATGGTGGTATGATGTACTTTCAACACACACCCTGTATTCATCAAACCAGGTCGCACGCTCTAGCGAGCGCGGGTTAAACGACGAGGCCACGTGAGTTGTCAAGCGCGCTCAATTCAAACTGGGCTGCTTGTCTATTCAGAGCAGCACGCTATACATTTAGCTCTATTCATAACCCTTTACTTTTGTTTTCTTATGAATTCTTTTCTGCCTTATAAACACACACCTTTCATTCCCCACCCTTTCCCGACGCGCTGTTGATGCATGAGTCATCCTATCCGATCACGTGACTTGGATCAACCAATCACCTTCGCATCCGCCTGGATCAACCGGATCAACCAAAAAAGGTTCCTGCGGACCCGTTCTATACTACTAAGATTACAAGATTATCTTTGATACTGATTTTGAAAATGAACAAATTGTCTCTTCTTAAACTGATGCATTCCGTTTATGAAACACTGTAGCTCACCTGCTAAATCCTGTGTAATAAAGTGCCCATCTAATTCGTACGCACGGAAATTTGTAATAATAATAATTTAAACTAAAAATCTTATTATTTTCAGAAAAACAAAGATTGTCAAATCACACATATTGTTGCATGAAATATACGATCTTAGTTCAAACATTACAAGCCTCATCGAATGTAATAAATTGGTTTACTCATCGTAATATTTACTGTATTATATATAAATGTTGTTTTGCAAACGTTTCATGAGTTCGGGAACATGTGTGATTAAATCTGTACAATTTCTGAACATTTGCTTGACATAAACAGTATTCACAGAACGATTTTGGCACATGAGCTTAAAATAAAAACCTGCCTTTGAAGGCCACAAATATGCATTCTCTGCTCGGATTGGCTCGGAAATCAAAACAGGGTGTTTAAACATGAAGTTCAAATCAAGCTTCAGGTATATCGATGGTCTGATATCGTGCAATAATAGCAACGTAGCCAATTACATTCCACAGATTGAGCCATCTGAACTGAAAATATAATGTTTAGATCTATGTAAATAGTTTAAGAGTGACAAAAACACCCATAAGACTTATAACAGCAGGAATAACTTCAACTTTCCAATTTTCAAATTCGAGCAATATTTAAGGACCTCCCGCCTACATTTTACAACTTTCTGGGAATAATCGTGCATGCTCTTTTTCGCGGAGATTTCAAAGAGCATCAAATGGGTCTTGCCGAAAATGTGTGATCAGGGTTATAACATCCGTAGCCTCAATATTGTGGCATGGCATGTGGAAGACGTGCTTGAATTTGATGTATCGGTGACAAAAATTATCTCTGATGCAATTTCATATTTCACTTGCTTCATGTGGTCCCATGCAGTTTCAGGCTAATTGTTTCTTGCCTTTGCATGTGTTTATGATGGGTGTCACCGGTGTTGCAAGATTCGCCCACCTTTTCGCAAATATCCGGTATCATTACAATTTGATAGTGATTCATTAACACACGCTCATAATATAGTCAGTATCATACAATGGTCTGTGCTTTTTGCGGAGATTTCCTTTGGTCGTGGACATGTTTTTTGTGTGTGAATTGATTAAGCTGCTCTTACCCATCGTTTCCAAACACCACTGCCTCTTTCCGCGAGGAATCCGTCTGACCATTATGGACGATTATGCGGATCAAGCCAAGGTACGAAAAACCTGAAATTACTGATAATTGAAGAAGCGGCAAATATTTGCATACTCAATCCTCTTACCGACCCGTGAATACCCGAGTTAAAATAGGTCTTCAGCAACCCATGCTTGCCGTGAAAGGCGACTACATTGTATGCGTGTCGTAAGGGTCGACTAACGGGATCGGGTGGCCAGGCTCGCTGATTTGGTTGATGCCTGTGATCGTTTCCCAGTTGCGTGGATCGATGCTCATGATGTCAATCACTGGATTGTCTGGTCAAGACTCGATTGTTTCCAGACCGTCGTCATATAGCTTGAATATTGCTGCATGCGGCGTTAACAACAAAAAACAAAACAATCCTCAAAACACATTAACATAACTTGTCTCCATCTTACATACAAAGCAACCTAAATTTACACCAGTTCCTCAATAATGACATCATACCCAGTCTACTGACATCGTGTCTGGTTAGGGAAACACGTGACCAAAGCAAGATACATGTCGCATGCAGTGTGAAAGCCACATGCTTCCAACTATCTTATAAAGAAAGTCGTTTGTACTTCCGGTTAAATGTCGTTACTTCTTCTGTTTGGTGAAACATGTCTAACTCACAATATGCTCCTGCTTAATGACTCCATATTTATGTTAGTTTAGTATATAAAGACAAAGAATTACTAAATGAATGACCATTCTAGTTACAGTGACCTTGAAATGTATGAAAAGTCGCTCAATACCTTACCACTTCAATACTTCTACGAATGATGCCACTTCTTGAGTAATCATAAACTTAAGACGATTTGAGTGTATGACCTTGATAGTGAATGTGAACATTCCCGAGGACTATCCAGCATATAAACAAATGTGTTGTCCCAAGGTGGTATTCAATGTCACAAACATAAATATAGCATATGCTTCTCATTGAAAGTAGGTCATCGTGACCTGTTATTGAAATCATAAGATTGTCATCACGTTTGATTCATATTACATAACCACTATAAGCAAATAGTTTAACAAAACACTGCATGCATATTTTAAGAATGACCTCTATTGTGAGCTTGACCTTTACGATCTCGGTTCTGTCCTAAAGATGACAATTACCAAGTTGCATTGACTAACAACAAATATTTCTCGAGTATATTGGGCAATCCCCCTTATGATGACTTTGACCTTTGACATCACTGACATTTACAAACATATTATCGAATTATGCGACCTAAATGCGGTGCCGGTCTGGCTGGCAGAATATGATATAATGCAATCTATTGCTGACTTTTTAAGTACTATTTCATCATCGAATAATCATTACGTGTCCATTGAATTCTTATACATTTTAACATTCATTAATAACCGTTTGCTTTTATTAAAGATAAATCTTGATTGAAATAATTCATGAAACACTTACCATCATCCACGATGTTTAAACACAGCTTGTAGATTTGGTTAAGTGGAACAGGGTTGGATATGGTGCGACCATTACTCAGCGTGGCGAATAGTTTTACTCCCAAAAAGTTAGCAATCGCTTGTTGTTTGTTGAGAAAGTTTCTGTAATAACAGAGCAATTGTCCCACTTAATAAGTATATATTAACATACAATCCACAGGCAAACTACAGACATGTTCTATACTTTGAAATATAGTGAATTATTGTGTGAATGTGCGTGGGCCACATACATAAACATTTTACAACAGCTACATCTAGAACGACTACTACTACTTCTCCTACAAATTATGACGTATGGCTATTTTGAATAATACAAATGGCATTGCATAATCTCACCCTCCTCTCGACGTAAAACAGTCATTCGTGGTATATTACTCACGTTGCAGTATCTGCTAGGATGGCATCTGTGGATATGGTTTGCCCGGATTCGTTGACACAACAATTGCCATATACAACCTCATCGGAGGCCACCAGCATGTTAGGGTTGTACTGGATGCGGTATGGTATTGTATAACACACGTTCCCTCCCTGCAGAACATAATGTTGACACATTGCTTTGTCGCGAAATATTACCGAAAAGGGTAACAAATTATATATATATATATATATATATATATATATATATATATATATATATATATATATATATATATATATATATATATCTGTGTTTGTGTGTGTGTATGTGTGTGTGTGTGTTGTTTTGATATAACTCTTTAAAACGATTTAGGACACTCGCAAATGAACAAGTAAACTTAATAACCTAGCATCTAGCTTCTCCTCAAATACATAGGTAAATTGATATCAGTCTTAACAGATGATTATGAACCTGCCATCCAAACATTTCACATACATGAAATATGATCTGCCCGCGGATCCTCTCATCTCAGCACTACGTGTCCACCGAAAGTTTGTAAACGGCTTATCATTGCAAGGATTAGCTCATTTTTCGACAATATTTGAAGTTGCTGCCTTGCTTCTGCTGCTGCTGTTGCAGGCTTTATGAAAGCTTCTTAGCACTGAGGTCCACAGCGACTTTCAGCTCTCCTCTTACCTGTGTCGTAGTGGTGTACGTTCCACAGCTGCCACTGAAGCCGACAGTGATGCACTGGCCTTGTATGTCTGAGGGGATCCTGTCTTCAGTGTCAGTGATATCCCCTACTGGATTGGCAGTGCATTCAGTAGAGGTGTAGCCAGAGACCGTGATGAGGGGCTGGTACAGGTTGATGGGGTTCATGCAGATTGTCATCTTGTTTTTATCACAGGATGTGATGGTTGCTAGTTATATATATAGTCAACATGAGCAGTCACAGACATTGAGCAACAGCCTATGAACAAGTGCTTACGTTTGAAAATGTACCCAGATAATAGCAAGTGCATTATAACCATGTTTGATTCAGAAAGTTTCAATGGTTATCAATATGAAAATGGCCTAATGTGCTGCAAATTGATCCTATATTAATTAATATATTTCCAAAATTTATTCCAGGTTTAGACTATTATCTCCATTGAGTGATATGAATATCTAAATGGGATACATATTATATAACTAGAAACAAAATACTGAAAAAGATCGTCAAGAAACAATATATACTGAGTTTAATCAAATATGTTCATATAATGATGACAAAATATGTGGTTATATTAAGGTCACCGTGTCGAACAAACTATTATGATCACTTATACAGGTTCAGTAATCTCTTAATAATCAGATCTCTTTCTCCGTAATGATGCCTTTCTGTATGATGATCTGCAGACACAACAGATGATATTTTATATCATTTGAGACGATTATGAGAATATAATAGAGAATTTACTATGTAACTATCTTGAGTAAAATATGAACGTACTTCTCTTGCGTTCGCACTTCTCAGCTTTGCCATTGTAATATCCAGAGTCACATACACATGCACCTGTTGACCCGTTTGAGACGCACTGTCCGTTACTTCCACAGTCCATGCCAGAACAGCCTGGGCCATTTATGTCAGCTGCAATGACCAAACAATGATATCATTGTCACAACCTTTTCTACAAGAGGGGGTGCAACTGTGCAGAGTTGCGTCCCTTGGGCACGCCAGAAACCTATGATTGTGGGTTCCTATCCCGGTTCGCCCCAATTATGTTTCTAGGTTTGTCAGCACCATACCCATGCTCGTGGGTTTCACCGAAGTGGTAACCGTCTGAGACCTGCATGACTTAGGGCTTTCCTCCCACATTAAGCTGACAACGCCTTGATATAACTGGAATACTGTTAAAAGCGGCGTTAAACCAAACTCACTCACTCACTCTCTACAAAGAGAGGCGATTGGGTGGCTAAGTGGTTACAGCATTCGCTTGTCACACTGAAGGCCCGGGTTCGATTCCCCACATGGGCACGATTTGTGAAGCCCATTTCTCGTGTCTCCAGCTGAAAAAATATACTCTATCAGTCAATCCTCTACATGACCATGTTGAAGTTAAATAAAATTTGCAAATCAAGATCGCCAGCAAGTTAACTTGTACCTAAGTTTATAAATGCAGGTTGGATGAGGCGATTTTGCTGGAAGGCTATCGTAAAACCACAATCTTGCAGAATTGTGCGGAAAGTGTGAATTCGTCATTCATTACACATTCCCACAACACTATGTGTCATCCCAGAATTGGGAAACAGTACATGTCCGCATGGAATGACAAAAATAATCGTGCATCTTGTACTGAACACCAAGCACATCTGATGCTATAACTTACATTGAATAATACCACAGTCATCTCCTGTTCTACCAGTAGCGGAGGAACAGTCACAAGTCGAACTGCTGGGTGGACAGACGCCGGCTTTGCAGGTAACACCGTACCGGTTACAGTCGAATAGAACCGCAGCTGGAACCACGGCAGACAATCAATCATTCCTACACATGTCCAAACACTCATTCGATATTTCGGGGAGGGGGTTAAAACATAATTTGGCCCCATTTTTTACATCCACAAAAGCATGTTGCTTGATTTGATGCTTGATGTGAAAAATGCTTTCTGAAAAAATATGTTCCGCACACCCTTTAAGTGAGAAGAAACTATATGTCTTGGAACCGTTACCGTAAAACTACATGTATTCTCTTGGAACCAAAATGAAATACGGCCCTACAAACAAACAACCTCAAAATCCCCACCCACCACCCCGATGTAGAGTATTGTATGGTCGGTGCCTCACAAAAACGATTTCGTATTATGATTGCTCACAGACTGTAATGATGTCTTAATATTTAGATCCAAACAATCATAAACATGCTTTAGCTATAGACGTTAAGAAAATGGAATGTGATAACTGTTTGCTAATTCGCTAATACAATAAACTAGACGTTGTTTTTTCACAAACTTGTGCGTTTTCTTAAGTAATGTGGTTGATTATATATGTTTTGAAAATACAAATTTAAGAACGAAATATATTTTTCTTCTTGTCTGTTTCAGACAATGGTGATAAATTACACAATATTTATCTTACTGTCATCGTCGTTTATGCATCCCTTGATGGTGACGTCATCGTAGCCCGAAGCACTGATTGTTATTGAGAACTCTTCCTGTGATTCGACAACCTAAAACACAACACATGTACTGCTCCTGGAAAATGGCATGAGATACATCAATACATAAACAGGGGGAGACTCTCTCAGGGTAATATAAACCCTACATGTCCATATGCACTTCCCTCATCCAGGATAATATAAAACCTACATGAACACCTGACGGTCTCACGTCCAGGGTAATAAAACCCTACATGAATATCTCCCCTCTCTCATTCAGAGATAAAAATCCTACATAAAGACCTGACTGTATCTCATGCAGAGAAATATAAACCATACATGAACACATGATGTCCTCACTTCCAGGGTCATATAAACCCTACATGGATAACTGCCCCTCTCTCATTCAGAGATATAAACACTACACGTATACCCGACTGTATCTCATGCAAATAAATATAAACCATACATGAACACCTGACTGTCCATCACTAGGTGTCATATGAAATTTAGATGTACATTTTGCTGCCAATAATATTATTCGAACTTTGTACCCTCCATCATAACTGTAAGATTGCGGTGTCTGTACATAAGCTGGAACTGTGCTATGCCAATAATTGAATTTAAACCAACATAACTGTTTACCTTGCCCCTATGATAACAACACGTTGCTAAGATTGTTGCAGTGCCTCTCAGTGAGCTGGCACATTGCGTTACCTCTTATATAAATGTTACCTTGCAATGTTTTTAACATAACTTGATTGTTACAGTATCTTTTACTTAAAAGGAAACTTGCAGAACCACATTTATAACTGTTACCTTACATTGTCTCTTACATAACTGAACTGTTGCCGTCTTTATACTTAACTGAAACATTGCAGTACTGGCAGCTGTAACTGTTACTCTACAGCGCCTCTTTCTAAACAGGAAAATTACAGTACTGGCTGCTTTAGGTGTTACTCTGCAGTGTCTCTTTCTTAACAGGAACTTTGCAGTACTTCCTGCGTTAACTGTTTCTATGCAGTGTCTCTTTCTTAACAGGAACATTGCAGTACTGCTGCGATAACTGTTACTCTGCAGTGCCTCTATCTTAACAGGAACATGGCAGTACTTCCTGCGTTAAATGTTACTCTGCAGTGCCTCTTTCTTAACAGGAACATGGCAGTACTTCCTGCGTTAAATGTTACTCTGCAGTGCCTCTATGCAGTGTCTCTTTCTTAACAGGAACATTGCAGTCCTGGCTGATTTAAGTGTTACTCTACAGTGCCTCTTTCTTAACAGGAGCATTGCAGTACTTCCTGCTTTAACTGTTACTCTGCAGTGCCTCTTTCTTAACAGATACATTGCAGTACTGGCAGCTGTAACTGTTACTCTGCAGTGCCTCTATCTTAACAGGAACATGGCAGTACTGGCAGCGTTAACTGTTACTCTGAAGTGCCTCTTTCTTAACAGGAGCATTGCAGTACTGGCAGCTGTAACTGTTACTCTGCAGTACCTCTTTCTTAACAAGAGCATTGCAGTACTTCCTGCTTTAACTGTTACTCTACAGTGCCTCTATCTTAACAGGAACATGGCAGTACTTCCTGCTTTAACTGTTACTCTACATTGCCTCTTTCTTAATAGGAACATTGCAGTACTTCCTGCTTTAACTGTTACTCTGCAGTGCCTCTTTCTTAACAGGAACATTGCAGTACATCCTGCTTTAACTGTTACTCTGCAGTGCCTCCATCTTAACATGAACATGGCAGTACTGGCAGCTGTAACTGTTACTCTGCAGTGACTCTTTCTTAACAGGAGCATTGCAGTACTGGCATCTGTAACTGTTACTCTGCAGTGCCCCTTTCTTAACAGGAACATGGCAGTACTGGCAGCTGTAACTGTTACTCTGCAGTGCCTCTTTCTTAACAGGAGCATTGCAGTACTTCCTGCTTTAACTGTTACTCTGCAGTGACTATTTCTTAACAGGGACATTGCAGTACTTCCTGCTTTAACTGTTACTCTGCAGTGCCTCTTTCTTAACAGGAGCATTGCAGTACTTTCTGCTTTAACTGTTACTCTGCAGTGCCTCTATCTTAACAGGGACATTGCAGTACTTCCTGCTTTAACTGTTACTCTGCAATGCCTCTTTCTTAACAGGAGCATTGCAGTACTTCCTGCTTTAACTGTTACTCTGCAGTGCCTCTTTCTTAACAGGCGCATTGCAGTACTTTCTGCTTTAACTGTTACTCTGCAGTACCTCTATCTTAACAGGAGCATTGCAGTACTTTCTGCTTTAACTGTTACTCTACATTGCCTCTTTCTTAATAGGAACATTGCAGTACTTCCTGCTTTAACTGTTACTCTGCAGTGCCTCTTTCTTAACAGGAACATTGCAGTACATCCTGCTTTAACTGTTACTCTGCAGTGCCTCCATCTTAACATGAACATGGCAGTACTGGCAGCTGTAACTGTTACTCTGCAGTGCCTCTTTCTTAACAGGAGCATTGCAGTACTGGCATCTGTAACTGTTACTCTGCAGTGCCTCTTTCTTAACAGGAACATGGCAGTACTGGCAGCTGTAACTGTTACTCTGCAGTGCCTCTTTCTTAACAGGAGCATTGCAGTACTTCCTGCTTTAACTGTTACTCTGCAGTGTCTCTTTCTTAACAGGGACATTGCAGTACTTCCTGCTTTAACTGTTACTCTGCAGTGCCTCTTTCTTAACAGGAGCATTGCAGTACTTTCTGCTTTAACTGTTACTCTGCAGTACCTCTTTCTTAACAGGAGCATTGCAGTACTTCCTGCTTTAACTGTTACTCTGCAGTGTCTCTTTCTTAACAGGCGCATTGCAGTACTTTCTGCTTTAACTGTTACTCTGCAGTACCTCTATCTTAACAGGAGCATTGCAGTACTTTCTGCTTTAACTGTTACTCTACAGTGCCTCTTTCTTAACAGGAGCATTGCAGTACTTTCCGCTTTAACTGTTACTCTGCAGTACCTCTATCTTAACAGGAACATGGCAGTACTTCCTGCGTTAAATGTTTCTCTGCAGTGCCTCTATGCAGTTCTTTCTCTTAACAGGAACATTGCAGTACTTCCTGCTTTAACTGTTACTCTACAGTGCCTCTTTCTTAACAGGAACATGGCAGTACATCCTGCTTTAACTGTTACTCTGCAGTTCCTATTGGATAACAGGACCATTTCCGGGATTTCTGCTTTAACTGGAACTTTTCAGTGCCTGTTGCATTACTGGAACATTACGGCGTCTGTAGTCTATTGATACCTTCCATGCACACTGTCTCAAACATTGTGTAACCTAGTCACCCAAGTTAACTGCAACATTGTAGTGCCTGTGATAAAAATGTGGTATTGCGTTAATGTTACATTCAACATTGCGGTATCTCTAACATAACGTCCATCTTCATATGGCTTAATCAGTGCTTATAGATTACTTTTTGATTAGCATCTAGACATTGGAAGAACATAAAAATATAAAAACAATAATGGTGAAGGTGAAAGACGCTGCCTTGAAACGTGGATACAAACAGTTACCATGCTAATATGGTCGCACAAGACCTCTTGGTTAAACATAAATTGTCAATGCAAGAGAAAATAGTCTAGATTATCCACCGCAACAGATTGTATATAGCGAAAAGGGAAAAATAGCTGTTAAAATTCAATGAATGGACAACTGTAAATCAGTGATGACACCAGATGTTAGCGAAAGGCTAGGCATAACCTGCCATAGGCCCTGCCGGCATCACCCATCATACACATAATTTGCATGAAAGTACATATATATATATCAAGTGATCGATGAACCACAAAACCCAGTGAAAGGATTGTCCATTTACTGATTTGTTGAAACTAATAAAAACGATGTTGAATTTTGAATTATGCCTGCTGTTTACAAGTGCAGAGATTCTGCTACTTTTAAGTAAAGAAAAAACGTTTAAGAAATATATTCGTTTTGCAACACGACAATTGGGATCAGGTATATTCAAGATACTTTGTAACAATCAAACAAGTGAACAAATATCTGAACGAATTCTGTGCATGAACTGTTCAAATCATTCCCGCAATCTTTGTTAGGACGTGATTAATGATCGTTTATCTATCAAAATTGAAACCAGATCGATACTACCACTCTTACCAGATCGTCGATTATAGGCACTTCCAGATAAGCATTTATCTTTCCGTTTTGAAAGGCGAGCGTTGTGACATTGTTGGCGTAGTCAGTGGTCGATTCTGCATCGCCGTTGGTGTAGGTCACTGCTGCAGTCATTGTTGACCTATCCGATGATGGTCTCCTAATTGGGATGACCAGTTGCCCCAAGCTCTCGGTGACACATGATTTCGCATTCGCGCTGAACACCAATGGAGGCTGCGTGGTTGTCGTGGTAGTCGTGGTCGTCGTGGTAGTCGGATCTGGAGGCATTGTAGAATAGCGTTTAATGTGTTGAAAATTAAAGCGACAAAGGCAGCACAATCCATTGTACGATTCCAACAATATTACAAACATCATTGTGTTTTAATAGTGAAACCGGCTCATTTGTTTTATATTTAGATCTTTGCATAAAGATTCAGAGTAACAAATACATCTCCACAATACTGTCTGACAAGAGGGGTGACTTCTGCTTTCCAATATTTAATTTTCTCTTTATGTCAAGCTGCGATGCCAACGGATCAGGATCCAACCTTTGGTGTCCCCATTTAAGGCACAATCGAGCATACTACTTCTACGACTTTTAGCAAAGGGTCATAGGACTTGCTCATAATTTATTTACATAATTAAAAGAACTGTTCACCTTCGCAGCAGCAATAGTATAGGTATAATCTTTGAATGGACGGTATGCGAGTGCATTGCAATTTACATCGAAAAAATCTCATGCACATTCTTATTTGTTTGTGACTAAATATTCCCAACAGGTTACACAAACATAAATAAAACCAACATATCAATTTAGTTCATTTCTGATATCTATCAAGATGTGGTCAAAGGTCAATATTTTCTACTTGACAAATACCCAGCTGACTTCAAATACAACACGCAGAGTTATTCAAACTCACAGCTTCTCGGTGTTTAGCTTCATGTACTATACTGCAATGAGAGTTGCCAGGGACTCACATGCTACATTATTTCAGAAAGGTGAGTGAGTATGGTTTTACGCCGCTTTTAGCAATATTCCAGCAATATCACGGCGGGGGACACCAGAAATGGGCTTCACACATTGTACCCATGTCAGGAATCGAACCCGGGTCTTCGGCGTGACGAGCGAACGCTTTAACCACTAGGCTACCCGACCGCCCCTATTTCAGAAAGGAGAATATTTTGTCAATGATAAGGAGGTGAGCTGTGGAATACTTACGATAAATGTTGACGTGATATTATCGGGAGTGCCAAATTGTAACACTTTGTCCCGCTTGCGTGCCTTGTTGACATCGCCGTGGGAGCCACGTGCTTTCCAGCTATCACCTTATGCACTCCAAGCCTCGCTTTCATAGCGGAAGTAGCGAAATGCGTAAAGGCCAATAATTGAACTTTGTTTGTCCTGCGACAATTAGCTATATTTAATTGCTACCAATTATAACTAAACGAGCTACAACAAAGTATCACTGGCAACAACCATTTGTTACCAGCTATAACCAGAAAAACTGAGCCTAACAAGAATTGTACATGAACAGTGATCCAAGATTACCAAGTTGACCAGGGATGCAAAATGCTACCACTAATGGCGAGTAGTTAGCCGCTGTAAATCTTAATGCGAATCTCTCCTCTGGCTCTTGGGTCTGTAACAGAACAAACCAGTAAATTAGGCTATGTGTAGGTGTCAGTAACGTCAAAATGTTGAATCTCCGTGACACTGTTATCACAGCGCGTTACTTGAGTCGATTGAATGAATGAATCCTTGTTGAATTTCGTTCAATGGTAAATAATTTCCAGTGGAAGCTGTGGTTTAGGACCAAACAAGGCTGTATCATAACCATACATTATATTACAGTTAAAGAACTCAACATCTTTAAACAGGGTTATCTTCGCAAACTTCCACATGCCCAAATTGCAACAATTAGTGGAACACCACAATGAGTTTACCCATTGTTTCATTTGAAGAACATGACTGAAAAGATGAATTTTATTAGCGAGGTTTCCTATTCTAATGAGTAGATTCTGAGTGTAAAAAATGGTTTATGCTGTAGTTTCTGCTGGTTGTATAATTTCCTGTTACCACTGTGCTGTCATATCGCTTCTTGTGCAATGTTTTATTGAGTAGAACCTTACACAGAGTTAAATTTGGTACATCGCATATTTTTAGTCGATTGCATCATGCTCAGTGATGTTTGTACAAACGTAGCTATTTACATATCAATTCATAAGTATGGAAATAATATTTACGTATCAAGAATTTAGTTTAAACATACCATGTCTGATGTTATTGATACACGGATTGCAACGAATGGAAGGACTGTGAAAGTTCCGACTGGTCCAGAGGGGAGATTATAATCCACATCGAACGTTGCAGTGCCATCTCCTTGTGGATCAATTCTAAAGCTGAGTCCAAACCCGTTGTCGCTTAGATCCTTACGTAAAGTGAACACAAAGTTATCCCCCTCAGATGTCTCAAAACAAACATCGGTGGAAGGTTCAGTTGAAAAAGAAAACAGTGCAACTGAAATTTCACAAACGTAAATTGTCATTGAATTATATAACGTATTTCATAATACAAAAAAACTTTTAGATTGAGGTCACACTCTGCGGAACACAGCATACACTTTATGACCGAGTTGGACATTAACTGAAATACCAACCCTTGGCACTGTCTCAATAATTAATATATGTCCTACATATGATACCAAGAGGTGGAGAGGTAGCCTAGTCGTAAAAAGTTCCATGGGTGCGGTGTGTGAAGCCCATTTCTGGTGTTCTTCGCTTAGATGTTGCTGTATTTATGTGAAGAGCATCTCATTCATTCACATGACTATATTCCCTGTGAAGATCAGGGTTAGCATTGGTTATCAGCAACTCCATCCAACGGGATCAAGTGGTCAGGCCCGCTGACCAGGTTGATGCATGTATAATTACATACCGTCGTTATATGACCCGTGAAGACCTGGGGTAGAATAGGTCTTCAGCAACCCATGGTTTCCCTGAAAGGCGACTAGGCTTGTCGTCAGAGGCGACTGACGGGATCGGGTGCTCAGGCTGACTTGGTTGATAGATGCTCATACTGTCAATCACTGGATTGTCTGGTCTAAACTCTATTATTTACAGGCCGCCGTCATATAGCCGGAATATTGCTGAGTGCGGCGTTAAACAATAAACAACTAAACAAACAAACACACCGTCCTGAAATAGCTGGAATATTGCTGCGTGCGGCGTTATACAAGAAACAATCATACAAACACACGACTATATTACGATGCTCTGAGATGCATGTTAGTAAGTGAGTGATTGCACAATGGTATCAACACATTCCAGTAGCACCCCAAATTGAAGCAGTACAAAGTAGGTTTCTCACTGGTATTCCCTGATACTCCATAAAGTAGTCTAACAACCTTTTTGTTTTGGCTTTGAACACGATTGCCGTAGAATAATACTTCTTTTGTGCTGACATTTCACCAAAAATGTTTATAATAAACTTGCATAATCCCATGCAACTGACACCAAAGTGAGTGGTATTGCTTTTAGAATCGATGTAGACACCTCACCAAATCCAGATCATGGTATTCATCAAAAGTTGATTCTCCCATGAAATATCCCTCGTACTATCAATATCGGGAGGTGGGTTTCGCTGATGTTTAAGGTTCTGGTTCTATTATACACATGGGTATAATCAATATGAACTCCATTTCTCGTGTCCCCGCCGTGAATATTGCTAACAGCGGCGTAAACACCTATTCACTTCTAACAATATGGAACTAACATTGCACCTGTATCAGGTAAATAGACCAAGCGATGAACTAAGCCTCACCTGATTGCCCAGAACACATGTACAACAGCAGCAGAGAGCCAAAGCTGTAGACGGTGTTTAAGCACATTTCCCCAGGCGTGTCTGACAAAACAAGAAAAATCATTTACCTGATATCTGAGAAATAATGAATACATCAAAATACATCATCCACTACAGTAAGTTCAATTGCCACGGTTGTTTGACATTGGTAGTCTAATACAAGACAGAAAAATTCCTGTCATCCACAAACTGTGAGTATGTGGTCAGGTTTATTGTTTTGCATACACCTAAATTGGGTAGTACAAAACAGACTTGTAATGATGAAGGGACGTGAATAAGATATCATATTGAAGGAAGTTTTTTATTATTGATCCAATTTAAACCGTTTCAAGTGTATGTTCAAAGACATGTTGGCGATGTTCGTTTGTTTGTTTGTTGTTTAATGCCGCACTCAGCAAGAGTCCAGCTATATGACGGCTGTCTGGAAATAATCGAGTCTGGATCAGACAATCCAGTGATTGACATCCACGCAATTGGGATACGATGACATGCAGCAACCAAGTCAGCGAGCCTGACCAACCAATCTCGTTAGTTGCCTCTCCAGACAAGCATAATCGCCTTTTACGGCAAGCAAGAGTTGCTGAAGACCTATTCTGCCCTTGGTCTTGTTGGCGATGTATTGTGAGGGTGCAGAGAACCAAAAGGCGAATGTGGTGTGTCGTCAAACAATGAACGAATGATCAATCATAAGGTGTGACATGGTCAAAACCAATCTCCTAATTACAATTTGAGAGAGTCTTGTCCACTGCGCTTGCAGCGACTGGCTCCCGATCATGTCCCAGACGTGCTCTATGGAGGTAAGTTTGATGATGTATTGCTGCTGTATGCGAGCCTCCCTTTCCATGGACAATATGCAACGGCGTTCTGGCAGTCATAGTGATTCCGTCTTATGTCCTTACACACCCTATCCTGAATATCTATCACCTTGCCTTACGTTGACGTTCGTCAAGACGCATCCGTCCACGCCTATCCAGAAAGCCCAGTGTGAATCTAGACTCACCTGAAAATATTGCAAGGTCATCGGCGATTTCCCCAGTTACGTCGTTCTAAATATTATTGACGTCTGGTTATACTGTAAACAGTTATCGGAAATGTGACGCTGTTTTACTGTAAATCCATGTGTTAAGACGACAGTATTATGTTGTTTTTATTATACCTGAACTGTTCTGTCATATGTTTCTTCAGTTACGGTAAGTTACTGTATGCACTGTCTCCATTACGCAAAGGTGCACAAAAGGGTGACGGGGGTGTGCAAATCTGAAACTTCAACCTGACAGGACAACATCGGTACGCATCATGGTGGTACAAACTTCTATCCGAGCACTGGGATGGTGAAAGTTGTGTTCCGTGTCAGCTCCGTTCTGCAATCGTGCGTCATCCCATCCTTGACTGTTACTGACCTACATGTACCACCATATTGGTCACGGTACCTAACAGTACAGGGATGAAGTCGTTGTTTGGGGACCGACCATACCTCGTCGTCACGTCTCCTGTCTGAACTACAGGTTCCACATATGCGAAATCACACTTTTGGACATCAGCATCTCTCTATCTGTCTGGCACTACACTACCGGTTAAAAGAAAGTAAACACTTAAACATTGGATTTGACCAAACATTTACAAATGTTATCAAAAGGTTGTTTGGCTGAAAACACTGAAAACTAAAGGTCCCCAACACAACTGTGATACTGGTATGATAAACCATTTCTTTCTTCATTTCAGGCACCATCAAACATGGGTGTATACTAAAATGTCTTTCTCTTGCATCTGTGTTTTATGCTTTCTGTTTTTGTCTGTCAATGGGCTAATTCTTGCCTCTTGAATTTTATCACGTTTTGCATATGCTGCGACTGTAGACTTGTGTTTACATCTATTTGGTGGACATGGCTCAGAATTCTTGATAGCATGTCACTCAGCAGTGTCTCAACTTAGCCTTCTTTTCATCCTTTCTATCAGTGTATCTCACATACATTTACGGTAACACTGAACTTGTCACTACATGACGTTACATAGCCACATTAACAAACTATCACAGTTTAATTATGCTTAATTTATTAAATATAATGTTTCCGACAATAGGCCATTTGAAATTCGATGTACTCTTCGAGATCGTTCATTTTGTTACAGTTGATCTAGGCCAAACAATAACGATTGTTATGTATGATTCTAATGAATAAAAATGCAATGTGGATGTCTGTCTGTGAAAGAAGGGATCGTTCTATTGTTTTGTTGAAATTTTTGTCGCATTCACGTCAATACAATACTACTTCGTGATAACTGACATCAATGCAAACACTTCTCACCTAACATTCCTGTATGATTTTACATATGTGCCGAAACAGATGCAGTAGGGAGAAATCGGTAGAATAGTGATGAGATTTCACAGGGTATGCATAGTCAATGACCAAGAAAAAGTAAACCTTTGCCTTGAGTGAAAATGTAAAATTCTCGCGTGGTTTAGACTATAGGACACCGTAGTTCGAGACAAGAGGAGGGACGATGTTTTGGCTCAACTCAAATAGCATAGAAGAGATACTCGTACGTATTTGATTTATCTTGAAATGAGATATATCGTTGCATTATTCGATTGGTTTGTCATTTTTATGATAAATCTAAGGCATGGAGAACCCACGGCATTGCGAGAAAAGGGATATACATTTAACTTCTCAAATGTAAATCTGCAGGTAATTTAACCCTACATTGACAACACTGTAGTGATATAGCATGTTGTCACGCCGGTGACCCGGGTTCGAATCCCAACATGGGTACAATGTGTAAAGCCCATTTTTGGTGTCCCCCGCCGTGACTATGCTGGAATATTGCTAAAAGCGGCGTAAAACCATACTCACTCACTCACTCATATAGCGTGTTAATTGCTGAAACCCGGAAATCGATACATTTGAGGACAGAACTAAATTGTGAAATCAGTAAATGACCACACAAGACCAATGAGCAATCAACAAAGTATATTGAAATACACAAGGTTTACAATCCTAAAATGTAAATTAAATAATTGGATTGCTCAGTATGTGGCAGCAGCAATAAATAATAGGCCCTATTACAGAATTAGTGCCCAGTATTGATAACAGGTGGATGTTTCGAATTAAGCATGTGCCCCGTTCTTGAATCCCGCAAACAATATTGGAAACAGGCTGAAAAGTTTGTTGTCTTTTTCTGGCAGGTATATGTGTTTCCCGTCCGCATGGGCAAGTACGATAGAAAGGATGAAAGTCGAGCTTCTCACAACGGAGCTATCTGTGCAGGGAGGCTATAGCTAGCGAAGGTGTCAAGGACGTAAACAGTGAGGGAAGCCACAATGTTACACTTTGGACCACCGTAGGCTAATAGTACGTTTTTTCAACGCATCATTGAATTCTTGCCACTTAGAATCAACACAAGTGCCTACGTATACAACAATACTGCTGCCACATAACTGTATGAAAAGATAGAAAACTATATGTAGACTATTTTCCAGTCATAGGATGAAACGAATTTAGATCTTGATCCTGCTAACTCAAAGTCAACCTGTCCACTCATAATATATCGAACTGTCCGAAGTGTGAGACAATAGGAATGTTGATATTGGCTCAGAGTGCCGTTAGAATGTTGTCGCAAACTACATTAATTGTTTGTAATGTCACAGATAAGATAAGAATGTTATCCGAGGAAGAAATCTGCCAAAAGAGTACATCACTACTATCAACTTTAGATTTGACTCTTAAACCTGATAAATGTCCATTCCACATTTGTACTGGATTCCAATGCTCCGTAAAAATCCGTACAAAGAGAAATATATTGCTTGGTTCAGCAAACATACCAACAAATCCCTGTCTCAAAGATAAACCATAATCCTTAATACTATAAAGTAAGGACTTTCTTTATATTCAAAGAATATATTTGAGACAAGTGGAATTAATACGGTGTGGGTTCTCACAAACTTAAAGCACTGGCTTCAGTTTTGCAACCTCAGCAAAGAACCAAGTATACATTTGATTTTTTAACTTTGTACACCACTATCCCACATGTAAACTTAAGGAAAAAACTGATCCCTGGGGCATTTGTTACAAAACGTGACCAAGCATCCAGCACTACTGTTTTATGTTAATTCGCGAACGCTTGGCGTCATCACTGATTTTCAGTGATCCATTCATTTAATTATCACCGCTATATTGCCTTTCACGTCCTATGGAATTGATTTCGGTGGATAATCGTGACAAGTTAATCACTGGCTTTGAATCTATAGATTTACATTTCTATCGTCACAGGTTCGGGGTTACTTGTCAAAAATGAAACCAAATGCCGTCTCAAGTTTAATGAGAAAACAATCAAGCAAAAAGCAGGGAACCCCCATAGGCTACAATCGGCTCGCCTTCTTGCTTGATCGGCTTCTTATGCATAGAATCGGAATTACTTCTCGGAAAACAAGGAATTTTGACGAAAAGATGAACTTCAGTTTCAGGTATATCGATTATATGACATCGTTCAATAACCATCAAATAACTCATTCCCTTCTCTGATGTACCCACCTGAACTACAAATGAAGGAGACTTCGTCTGTTTATGTTTATATCTATGCATAGACCATATGACATGAAGCATGACTTCAACTTTCAAACGGTCAACTTTCCCTTTATGTCCAGCAATATTCCAGCAACTCCAGCCTTTGGTGCCACAATCGAGTATACTCTTTATACGATGATTTCAAAGAGCGTCATAGGAATCTTCAACACAAGTTGTAGCCGTGGGTAGTCGTACTTTAATACCACGTGCATGGACAATATTAGCTATACAATATCTAAACATTGTGTAGGACAAGGGCATTGAGAGCATGATTTGGGGGACCAAAATTGGGGGGAAAGACATTTCTTCAAGAAGAAGACATCCCATGGGCACCATTTGTGCTCCCCTTCTTGTTGATCTTTGTCTTTATGCATATTTCCAAAAGTCAACTTACCCTTTATGTCAAGCAATATTCCAGCAGCTCCAGCCTTTCGTGTCTACATTTTACACATTTTGCGGTACAATCGAGCATACTCCTTCGATGATTTCAACGAGCGGCATAGGAAACATTAACAAAAGTTGTTTGGTCCAGGTTACAACATTCAAGGCCTCAGTAATGCTTTCAAAACATTTTAAGAAAGACACGTGGAGGACATTTCCAAATTTGACGCATCAATGACAACATTGATGTCCGAAGCAATTCCCTTTTTCGACACGTTCAATGTGTTCCCGTGTCTTTTCAGATGAATACCTGATTTGCCTTTACCTTGGTGCCACCGGTGGGGCAGGATGCACTCACATTTCAGCACAAGATATCATCACTATTTGTGAGATGTTCATAACCACATGCTCATGATATAGTCGGAATTGTATAACCGACTCGGTTTTTGGTCGCTTTTATTTAATAGTATCTTGTTTCTTCTTAAGCGGTATAGGGGCGGTCGGGTAGCCGAGTGGTTAAAGCGATATGGCTGAAATATTGCCGATGTGACGTAAAGCATAAACTCACTCACTCCCTAGTGGTTAAAGCGTTCGCTCGTCACGCCAAAGACAAGTGTTCGATTCCCGACATGGGGTACAATGTGTGAAGCCCATTTCTGGTGTCCCCCGCCGTGATATTGCTGGAATATTGCTAAAAGCGGCGTATAGCCAAACTCACTCACTCACTCTTAAGCAGTATATGATTAATGGAGTTTCAGATAACAAGGTTTCACTGTACTCGTACCCAGGAAGCAAATTATCCTGGACGTAAGAGGTGTCTTCATTGATCGGTAGTCAGGTTCGGTCACGTCAATGTGTCCTCATACACAAACGGTGTAAATTATTGCTCACAATATCGATCATTGGATTGTCTTATCCGGTCACTATTATTTACACGACGAGGTCTGAGTGAGGCAATAAACAACAAATGAACAAATAAACAAAACATAAATATCGAGTCTATTTGATATAATTAAAAATGCGATACGTAAAGTGTAAATATATATACATGGTGATTTTATATGTCGACTTACCAAGTTCTGCCAAACAGGTCTTCCAGCTGGTAAACTTCTTAAACAAGGTAGATGCAGCCTGTTTCAGAGATATATTGAAACTGTTGTCGGATAAGGCTACGTACATATACATACCCGTTACTCCACCAGTGAGGTTCGCCGAAACATCTCGATATGCATCAGCACTCCTTTACACAAGCTAACAAAAGAAATCTTTTTGACATATGTTGAACAAATTTATACAAAATGTGTTTTTGTCACACTACGTAACCATGGAGTGCACAAAACCAGTCATGTCAGTCGGTCTGTTCTGTAAACGGTGACAAGTCCTGAAAACAATCTATAGGATGGACGGGGTAGGACAAGTGTCTTTACAAACTGGAAATATTCCTTTGAAAATTATCAGATATGTTCAAATGGCCTCCTTCTAGTTGTTTTCGTACACAGGCCGCAGGTGTACTGCGGTTCGGCTTCAGGCAACTAACAAATTGTGAATAGCCTTCTTGAATCATGCTGGAGCAGGACACCCGGTGTCATCACTGATTTTCTGTGCTCCATTCATTTAATGTTCACCTCTATTTCTCTTTTACACACAATGGGTCTGTTTCGCCTGATCATATACAGGTAACTAAACGAGTCCCCGTTAGATACAGTTTTTATTACAATGAGTGTATTTCAAAATGTATCTAACGAGCGAAAGCGGGAGTGTGCGACTACGTGTATTTCAAAATGTATACTCAACAACAAAAGTTCCTGTGACACCAATATTTTAGTGTATTTTTCAAACAAGTAAAGTTTGGTTTTCATTATTGTAGTACATGTATGGAATCAAATTACAAAAACGCAACTGCTACAGAAAAGCATGCATTCCATGCAAAAGTTGACTTTTATGCAAGCCCTATGCATTTCACTACCCAAGAATGGGTATAAAACATGTGCGTTAACGGGATTCCATATGCATTGTTTAGCATCGTGCTGACAACAACCACTCAGAAAAACACCAAAATTATGCAGTTATTCAACATTACGTAATGCCACGCCTGTCCGAAGATGAGCGTCTGCGAGCAATTGGTATGCTTGAAGCAGGATCGATCCATTTGGTGTTTATGGCAACGTTGGCAACAGACGAATGCAGTCCGAGACCATCCTCGGAGTGGCAGGCCACGCGTCACCAATAATCGACAAGACAACTGGATTCGAACAAAACACCTACGAAATCGATTCCAGCCAGCAACAGTGACTGCAAGAAGCATCCCTGGCCTTCGACGAATATCTTCCAAAACCGTACGTCGTCGCCTCAGATGTGCAGGGATTGTCGCCAGAAGACCCGCCAGACGTCCCATTTGACAGGAAACCACCGTCAAGCACGTCTACAGTGGTGCAGACAGCGTCTACGCTGGACGGCCATGCAGTGGGGACAAGTTCTATTCACTGACGAGTCTCGTTTTCACCTCAGCCACAGCGATGGACGGATTCGAGTGTACCGACATCAAGGTGAACGTTACGTCAATCATTGTGTCATGGAAGAAGATCGGTTCGGGGGCGGCAGCGTTATAATATGGGGTGGGATTACAGAAAGACAGAGGACCCGTTTGATAGTGGTAGAGGGAAATCTCAATGGACAGCGCTACCGCGACGAGATCATCGGCCCTGTTGTTCTATCGTTTTTGCGTCGTCATGGCCCAGGCATTACCTTTCAACATGACAACGCCCGGCCTCATATTGCTCGACTTGTTCAGGATTCCCTTCAACAAAACAACGTAAATGTCATCCCCTGGCCGGCTTGCTCCCCTGAGCTCTCACCAATCGAGCACATGTGGGATGAGATGGATCGGCGCAAACACTCCAGGAACTTCGAAACATGCTGCAGCAGATATGGACAGATATCCCACAGGACTTTGTGCGACGCCTGAGACGAAGATGTGTTGCTTGCATCGCAACCAGAGGTGGACACACACGCTATTGATTTATAAATTGACATTTTGGCATGTTCATGTTTATTTTTTTTAATCATGCATTTTCTGAAGTCAGTATGGCAAATTTTGAAAATCACAAGTTGTAATAAAAACTATATCTAACGGGTACGAGTGGAGTAATTTATTTATTACTCATTTTAACTTTGCATATTATCTAAATTCAAAGTTGAACAAGGCGTTGTTGTTTTGAGAGTAGCTTATGATTACAAGAATCTTAGCTGATGATTCGATCATAGAATGTTCTCAAAAGGTGCAACCTGGAAAGTGTGCAGCTTACTCCAAAATCGATTGTAAGAAACGTTAAAATGTCAATTCTAAAATCGTGTTTATAATAGTATTGATATACACAGACATAACCAAGTTAAAAACATTTTGCATTCAGCGGATAATCTGGCTTTAAACTCGTTTCAGTATACGTGAGCCGTTAGGGGAGCCCGCGAGACGTTCGATTCATCGAGTTGTGTCATGTTGGCTGTGTCATTTCATTCGTGTGTGTGTGTGTGTGTGTGTGTGTGTGTGTGTGTGTGTGTGCAGATGAATAAAAGCGACAAACCTCTTTCCATTTCTTAAGAAATCGCTGCCAAAAGCAGAGTCAATTGTTCGATTCCAGCTGTATCATGAGTACGTGTTCATGAATGACAAACAACAAGAAAACAGCATTATCACTATCCCCCGCCATGGGACACATTAGAATTGTGTTTGTTGATATAGTAGTGAATTTAAACTTTAAAAAGGCACAAAGGTGTCATCAGAAAAAAAAATATTGAGTGTGAAATTAATACACACAAAAGGACCCTCCTCTGGAAAAATAACTTATGGCACTAATTCACGAACTCAATCTTTTTAAGTATCTCTTAGATAGGCATGCAAAGTTTCCATGTTATTTCAGTAGCTCCTGAGAAAACGTGTCCCCAGTTCACGGAGTATGCAAAAAGTTGAAAACAAGAAGCACGGGCCATAGCTCTGTAAAAACTGAATTTAAGACACTAATTTACGACCTCATTTAAGATCATGACCAGTAATATCAGTGTGTAAATGTCATTTCTCTTACTTAATTACTAGTAGTTTTTGAGAAAACGGACGAAGGAACACCGTTCCTATACCCCCGTCCATCTTCGTGCTAAAGCACATGTAAAGGCAAGCTGTTCATCTGAAAACGGGAATCCATGAAACGTGTCGAAACAAGGATTTGTATCAAAGATCATTTTTGTCATTGATGCGTCAAATTTGGAAAGATCAACAAGAAGGGGAGCACACATGGTGCCCATGGGATGTCTTTTTCTTGAAGAAATGTCTTTCCCCCCATTTTTTTTCCCCAAATCATGCCCTCAATGCCCTTGTCCTACAGAATGTGTAGATATTGTATAGCCAACATTGTCCATACACGTGGTATTAAATTACTACTAACCACGTCTACAAATGTTACTACAACTACAACTATAATTACTACTGTACTGCTACTACTTATAGTATCACTACCGTTACCACCGCTTGACCCCTACCACCACTACTACTACAACTGCTCCTACCACTACCACTACCACTTCTACCATTAGCAGCACCACTGCCACTACTAGTTCTACTACTACTACTACTAGTACTACACTTCCACTACTACTGCAACTTCTACCACTAGCAGTGCCACTATCACTACTACTACCATTACTACAACTACCAGTCGAGGTGGCCTAGCTTTGGTTACTGGTGGCCTATAGCCCATGTTTTAAACTGCATTAATGATATTGTTTGTAATGCTCAAATATGTTTCATAAGTTGTTTTTAACTGTAATAACTTTGCATAAATAACTAAATATCAACATATTAACTTGGTCTCGCTGCAATATAGCTGAAATAATGCCAATGCGACGTAAAATTTTAACTCACTCATTACTACTACCAGTACTTCTACAACTACAAAAACTACAACTATAACGACCACCACTACCACTGGTACTGCTGCCACTACTAATACCACCACCACTACAACTACCACTACCACTACTACTCTTGACCTGTGAAGATCAGGGGTGGAAAAGGTCTTCAGCAACGCATGCTTGCCGTACTACTACTACTACTACTACTACTACTACTACTCCTACTACTATTACTACTACTACTACTACTGCCCTGTGAAGATATGGGATAGAATAGGTCTTCAGCAACCCATGCTTGCCGTAAAAGGCGACTATGCTTGTCGTTAAAGGCCACTAACGGGATCGGGTGGTCAGGCTCGCTGACGTGGTTGATGCATGTCATCGTATTCCAGTTGTGTGGATCAATCATCATGATGTCAATCACTGGATTGTCTGGTCCAGTCTCGATTATTTACAGACCGCTGTCATATGGCGGGAATAGTGCGGCGTTAAACAACAAACAAACAAACGTACTACTCCTACTACTACTCAAGCAACAAACACACTACTAATACTACTACTACTATCGAAGACATATGAATCGTCATATGAAAATGGGTGATGAAACTGATGATATTATCAATTCCCCAAATGCAGCACATGCAAAAATGCAACCAAATGTTACACGTTTCCACACTTCGGCATTCGTGTCGTGACATACGTCTCTGTCTATGTTCTGAAAGTTTCGCCCATTTTGACAGACACTTTGGATACAACACCATAACTGCTATTCTTCACATTGACTTCACAAGATGCATTTTGGGGTTCATTAAAAAACATATGTGCCCTTGGGTCATATCACGTAACACGACAACAGTGTATTGTTTCTGTCATAAGGGCGGCATTGTTGACATCATTCGAATCTTATTGTGTCGTGAGGTTGGAATGACTTCAGAATAGAAACGATGCCATAGCTGAAGATTGTTGACGTCATTCGACAAATTGTGGTTCCGCTGCTATTGCGACTTGCTGTCCTTATAGGTAAACACTAAAATTCGTTCTGTATGTAGACATCTTCTTCGATAATAAATAGAACATTATATTTGTTTTCATTTTATACTACGTTTAAGACACTCGTGCCTAAGTTGTGGTATGTCCCTCGCTTTCTCTCGAGAAATACCGGAATTAAGACACTCGTAGTAGACCGTTCGTGAAGTTAATCGGAATAATCCGAGTTTTACCGATTGTCTTGTGTACATCATTTGACCAATCAGCGACACTATTTCTTGTCATGTTTTCTACAATGCAACAAAGCACGTACTTTTCACATTCAGTTCAACCCAGCAT